CTGACAATTTGAGTGGATTGCCAGGGAGTGTGCGATCATGCTTGCGCTACTATGGAGCAATGCCAGACCGAACTTCCCGACCTCAAACCTTGTGGGCGGGACTAAGTTCGGAATGGCACCCAGGCTACATATCTACTAGAGTGTTGGGTGTGCACGCTTAATATTTTGGCTAAGTTTGCTGTATTTGAGCACTGTGGTGATTTGACATCTCCTTTCTGTTGGCGCCATTGTTGGGTTGAGACCCGAGGCAATACCCAGTCAGCTGATAAAAGGTGTGAAGTTAGGAAGCTGGGACAGAGGCATTTCTTGCAAGAAAAAAGGTTCAGATTTATTTAGCGTCCACAGACAGAGAGATAGGGCTCTGAATGAGGCAACCTCAGTACATATATTTATACCTTACAAAAATCACAACACGCACACTCCCCCCCGGGGAAACCAACCCACCCCCTGCATAAAGAACTTTCTCAAACTTGAGCATTTGGAGGAAAACAACTTGAGTTCATCAAGGCCGTTCCCTGTTAAGTTAATATATCTTTCACCGGCCAGATGGATCCCCTCAAAACAACCGTCCTCCCCTTCATGCCATGAAGGAAGCTGTGTAACTCATTCTTATCTCTCATGACCTTCGTTTAGAGCCTGTGGGGCTAAGAACAGACATATCTTAAAATTTCTTACTCCATAAAGTCCATGTTTGTCAGCTGGCGGAAGTGCCGTCATCCTCATCTTATTCACTGAGCTGCCAAGATAGTTTGTGTTTGCATAAATCTGATAACCCTGTGGAAAAGAATGGAAGTGTAGTATGTTGTTTTTTTCTATATTTAGGCTGCTTATGTGGAGGTAATGATATACTAATAAAAGTGATTTATTAGTGGAAATCAGAGAAAAGAACTGTTCTAATTCACAAGAACAAGAAGACCGAGAACGGATAAAGTCCCCAGATGTTGTTCTCCCCCCTCCCTCATTACCCAGCATGCATCAGAGCAGACTTGTCCGTTCTTGAGACTGACAGCTGTCCCAGCATGCAGCAGCAGCTTCCAGGTTAGCGCTCCCAGAGCTCAGAGTATTAAGTT